AATTTTTTGTAATAAAATAATTAATTAAAATTAATAAATAATAATATGATTAAAATAAAAATATTTATTTATTTTAAAAAATAAAAAATAATAATTAATTTAAAACAAACCTAAAATTAAATAATAACAATTATTTTTAAAAATATATAGAGTGCGGAGTGGGGTGTCATTAATTAAAGTACATTAATTTTTCAAAGACCGTATCTAGAAATATTCACTTGCCCCTCAACTCTTTTTTTTTCTTTATGAATTTGGTCCCACAGGCGTTGCCGTAGCACACAAAATGCACGAGTTTGATCAGACGTGAACTCCATAATTAGGGGCCACGCCAGCCTGATGGAGGACATGCCTCATTCTTGTAATCTGTTGGCTCAGTTTTTGAAACAAGGGAATTTTGACCGGAAAGTATACCCCATGGTCATACATATTTGATATGACCCCCTATCCATTTCAAAGCCACCTATTACTATTTTTATTATTTATTTTGTTTTAAAATAATAAATACATTTTAATTTTATATTTTATATAAAATTTTGGGAATATTTACTTATATAATTTTAAAAAATAAAAATAATACAATTTAAATTAAAATTAAAAAAATAATGATAAAAATTATTATTCTAAATTAAATTCTAAATTAAAATTTGTCAAACTAAGGGAGTATTTTTAAGTGATTTGTCAACCATTCTTTTACATATCCAAGCTTTGGACGCAACATTTATGGCCAAGTAAGACTAATGCATGAGCCGGAACTAGATAATGACTAAGATTTGAAGATGCCGTGCATTACTGAGTCAATCTTCAAAGTTGGAGTTTTGTGCTAGCTAGCTACCGTATATTTTATCATTACTTTGTTCTATTCTAAATAATTTACATAAGGATAATAATACATACACCTACATAGTTATACATGCAATTATGCACGGTTGAAAATCGTTAGTTTCTAGTAGAAATTGTCAATTTTAACGACATAATTAATAAAAATCATCAATTTTAATAGTTTAATTAATAGAAGCCATCAACTTTAATGACACAAGTAATAAAAACTGTCAGTGTATAATGGAGTATATAATTTTGTAGAGTGTACCAATTATTTTTTTTTGCAAAAACATTCAACTTTTGGTTTGATAATCAATTCATAGGAATTTCTAATTAATTTTAGTTATAATTATTTTTTTAACTTAATTATGTGATTAATGTGAGTTATATGTACTTAGTTTATGTATGTCCATAAATGATGGTGTTGGAATGATATGCCGTTACATCTAATCATGTCATGGGGAATCATGAGCCAAAATAAAAATTAAAGAAAACAAAAAGATATGAATTGCCGATTTTCAACAAAAGAAAAAAACAAAGGCAAAATGAAAGAAGAAAAGAAAGAAAGCTATCTCCTCGGGAGCAGGTAGAATGAAACAACAATGCATTTATAGACTTTATCTAGATGATTCAATATCTCATTTCAAAGTAGTAACCATGAGTTGTTTTAAAAAGGTTTCAAAGGAATCCCCTGAACTCTTCCATTTCTATATTTTCCTGATATTTGGATTGGAAATCAAGATTTCAATATTATCAAAATAAAATATTAAAAGTAATTTAAAATGAAAAAATTGTATATTAATTAGTCATATTTATAAAAAAATTAAATAAATAAATGTAATTTTTGAAGACACAGAAAATTAAGACGTCTTCACAATCAAAACGTTTTGATTTTCAATTTCTTCATAACTTTTATAATCAATTAATTTTCTAAACAAGTGTTTCATCCTCTCAATAATTACCATTGAGATATAACAATGATGCATACGAAGAAGAATGTACGAAAAACATGGGTTCTATTAATAGGTCAATAATTGGAGCTGTCGGTTGGTGAGAAATTCCAGATACCGTCTTCCGGCAGTTTTCCTGGTGACTTTAATTACAAGTATGAATGCGTTAATATACCATTAATGATAATATTATAATTATAATATTAAATGATATTATAAATTTATAATTTTACATAATATTAAATAAAATATAATATGATATTAAATAATAAATACATAAAATATCACAAATAAAATTTTAAATTAAAAGAATTAATAATATTATAAATTTATAATATCATGTGATATTATAATTATAATATTATTATTAATTAATTAGAAATATTTATAAAACAATCACTGTAGTATATCATACTGAAATTTTTTTTAATCTCTTTTGATATTTTAATTATTAAAATATCTTAATTTTCCTCTATCTTTATTAGTTAATATAACATGATATTTTTTATTTTCTTAGTTTGTATCCTTAAAGTTTTAGCATATTTCACTGATCTATTTTTTCAGCCTTTGTGAAGAGGGACAAGCTTGTTTGTGTATCTTTCATTTTTGGTACATTAGATGATAAAATATATAATAAGGAATAGCTTTCTTTTTCTTTATTTCTTTCCACTCATCTCAATATTCAAATTTGAGATTTTTAACTTAAAATCTTAAATTCTTAATCACTTAAGATACTCTATTAAAAGTTGCATATATCCTTGATTGACCTTCAACAAATGCAGACAATAAGTTGTAGCTTCTAGAATCCACAATATATGGGGAAAGAGTGCCACCATTGATAGGCAGCCAGCCATATTGGACTGGCACACAATGTACGTAAACCACTGAACCACCTACCTCTTCTTGTGAGATTTAGTGAGAAGGTTTCACACTATTTATAGTAGCCTTATACTTTATTTATTTTTGTTTTAGTTTCTTAAATTAATAATTAAAAAAATTATGAATTTATTCAATATAAAATTTTAAATAAATACCTAAACCCTTTAACTTAATTATTTTATAGAATTACTTAATTTTTATTCTATTTTTTAAAATTATTAAAAACTAAAAGAAAAAACTTAAAATTACAACTATAATAATAAAAGCTTTAAAAGTTTCTTCATGGACATTAATTAGAACCCATTTAACCCACTTACAGAAGATGTCATGCATTTCTGAGTCAATCTTCAAAGTTTTGAAGTTTTGTGCTGGCTACGTATTTTTTATTATTATTTGGTTCTATTCTAAACAATTTGCAGCACATGACCATGAGTTGTGGTTGTTGTTGTGGCTTCCACTTTTAAATGGTTTTCACATTCAACTTTTGGTTTGATAATTAACTCATAGGAATTTCTAATTAATTTTAGTTATAATTATTTTTTTACGTTAATTATGTAATTAATGTGAGCTATATATACTTTAGTTGAGCAGTGCTAAGGGCACTCCCCTCTTGCACTCTCCGGCAAACACTTCCCCTTTCATTGGGCCACGTAAGCTTGTTTCAGGCTTGGAGGTGCATCCTCTTACCATCAGAATAACGTGGCCCAATAAAAGTGAAAGTGTTGGCCGGAGAGTGCAGAAGACGAGTGCCCCTAGCATTCCTCTACTTTAGTTTATGTATGTACATAAATGATGTTGTTGGAATGATATGCCATTACATCTAATCATGCCATGGGAATCGTGCTACTTACGATTGAGAGGGAGATATTTTTGTAGAACCAAGTAACCAACCAATCATTCAAGCAATTTGCTCTGAGGTAAAATAAAAATTAAAAAATAGAAAGATATGAATTGCCGATTTTCAACAAAGTAAAAATCAAAGGAAAAAAACAAAAAAGAAAGAAGAAAGAAAGATACCTTCTCGTGAGTAGGTAGAAATGAAACAACAATAATGCAGCGGCTTTCTCTCTAGATGATTCAATATTTCATTTCAAAGTAGTAATCATGAGTTGTTTTTAAAAAGTTTCAAAAGAATCCCCTAAGTTCTTCTAGGTCTGTATTTTCATGATATTTGACTTGGAAATCAAGATTTTAACATTATCAAAATAAAATATTAAAAGTAATTTTAAATGAGAAAAGTGTATATTAAATAATTGTATCTACAAAAAATTAAGTAAATAAATATTTTTAAATTACATCATTTTAATAAATATATCTTAAAAATTAAAATATCTTAATTTTTAAAATATAAATAAAGTTATTTTAGATTTTTTATTGTGATTCATTTGAAATGACGTAATTTTGAGTGTTTTTTTGGGTAAATTTTTTTATAAAAATGATTGATAAACATTAATTTTATTTGAAATATTAATATTTTAATGGTAATTTAAAATATTAATATTTTTAAGTTATTAAAAAAATCTTGGTATTCTAAGTTTGGAAAAATTATGCAGCAATCTTGGGATAGGATTCAAATGACACACGTACGTCCTAATATAAAAATGGGATATATATACCTATATATATATACATATGTATATGTTTGATAACTGAATGCAATGAATGATGTTGTTGTGCAATAGATTGAAAACAACAACCAACCAAAAAATAATAAATCAATGATATTGTAACCCTTCAATAATCAATATTAAGGCACAGGTGATCCTAAGTATCTAAGGCAGAACAATACTCTTAAAGCTAACTAGCTACTTAATGATTCCCTAACCACTTTGAGTTGCACAACAGAGGAATGCTAGATAAAAATAGGGTTTTTTTTTTTAAAAACTGTGTCTTCAGTATTAGGTTAAAAATGTAATTATAATATTTTTTGTATTAATTGGTGTTAAAAAATAAAAATTAATATTTATTTAATTATTTATTTAATTAAAATGGTTACATAACATTGATTGATAGTGAAGTTAATGTCAATTTTATATTTTTTAATATTAATTAATGTTAAAAAATATAATAATTACAATTTTAACTTATATTTTAAAACACAAATTAAAAATACCCATTAAAATAATAAAGATATGTAGTTGCTTTTTCCTTTTTTGAGTACATGAGAATGGTGATTAACCACAAACTACGGATGACACTTGGCCTAAT